TGGCGGTGGCTCCGGCACGTACAAAGTTCCCCCCCTGCTAAATCACTCCAGGCTGCCAAGCAGTCACGAGAAATATAAGCCCGCGAGGGGTTGCCATGGAGCGGGGCTCAGCTGCGGGAGACCGGAGCCGAGCCGATTCCTCCGGCAGACGTGTTTGCGGCCGAGGCCCTGCCAGCACCTCGTGTCCCGGCTCCTCGGTGGCAGGGAGCGAGTGCCACGTGCATGGTCCCGGTGGAGCCTTATCTCTGGGGACAGCACTTCCCTCCTCCCACAGAGCCAGTGCTGCAGAGCCCCACAGGGTGGTCGAGCTCTGAGAACACTGCAGGGATGCTGCCCCTCCCTGAGGCCATGGGCATATGTGGCTTCAGTGGTGGCATTTGCCCTGCAGGCACTGGGCAGCAATAGCACAGACACCCACAATGCCTCTGCCCCAGCCGGATTATGTCTCCAAGCCTCCATAGTGCTGGGGGGGAATTCCCCCCCAGCCAGGGGGAATTGTGCCCTTCATAGAATCACAGAACAGTCTGGGTTGGGAGGGAGGTTAAAGATCATCTACCTCCAACCCCCTGCCATGGGCAGGGACACCTTCCACCAGACTGGGTTGCTCTGAGCCTCTTCCAACCTAGCCTTGAACACTTCCAGAGATGGGGCAACCTGTGCCAGGGCCTTACCACCCCCACAGGGAAGAACTTCTTCCAAACATCCAATCTAAACCTACTCCTTTCAGTTTAAATCCATTCCCCATGGTCCTGTCACTACAGTATTACAGCTCCCATGCTCTGCCAGTTCCCCAGTCCCACCAAAGGGGATCTCAGAGCCTGGTGGGCTCCTGCCCCAGCACCAGTGGGCAGCAGTGCCTGGGTGCACAGCAAACCATCTGCCAAGAGCCACCCTGTGGCATCCCTGTCCCCAGGCCTGCACCAGGGACCATGGGACCCACTCCTCAAAACCAGAGGTTTGAGGCTGAAAGTGGCATCCCCCGGGCATTTTTCATTGGACAACCCAACCGTGCTGATAAGCTGGTGCAAGTGGAGTTTCTAACTACAAAGAGGCTTTTGACATTGGAAAGGTTAATGGGAGAGAGGTCCCTCTCCCTCACAAAGCTCCCTTTGCTGGAGGCCTTAGGTTGAGATCTTAATTATTCACCTGTTGGAGAGGTGCCTTTCCATTACGGCATGAGATCAAGGCAGGGATGTGCAGGCAGGCAGCAGGAAAGCCCACAGCATGGGGCACCCCTGGGACACCAGTCACAAGCAGGGTGTGCAGGCAGGTGTGCAGAGGGGCTCTCCGAGGGGGCAGATCTCAGGCCAGCCCTCCCTTCCCTCTCAGCTGCTCCCAGCGGCTGCTCGCTCCCAGCTACGAGCAGCGGGATCAGCAGCAGGCTGTGCTCCCAGACTCTGCAGCCTCCGCTGCGGCGGGGACGGCACCGGCAACCCCAGCACCCGCCGCTCCCACTCCGCCAGCACAGCCTCCGTCCGTGACAGCCACTGGGACACAGCCACCCCTTCCCAGGAAGCGAAGGGGTCTCCAGCCCCGGCAATGCAGCAGCCTTTGGATCCAGGCTGCAGCAATGCAGCCAGGCTGAGGATACATTCTGCACAGGCCCTTGGGCTGTCTCAGTCACCCAAACACCCCCCCTCCCTAAATCTTTTAGAGAAAACATGCAGAAAAAGCAGGATATTGGTCTGCTCAGTGAGGACTATCAGAAATTAGGGATGCACCCCTACTTCGTTACTAGCAGTGCCAACCCACCGAGGGCTCCCTGTGCCTCCTGCACTCACCGATGGATTAAGCTGTTAGCAGGAGGCTGGGAAGTTAAAAGAGGGAATATTGTATTTCAGTTTCATGTGATCTTTAAGCATCTCTCCGAGAAGCAGCCTGGGGGTTTTTTTAATTCTTTTCCTCCCTGCTGCAGTTTGGAGTTTTTAAACAAATTGAAGCTGTAAGAGTCACAGTGCTCCTGCCTCTTGCAGGGATGCCGAGAGCTGCTGGCTGCTCTGTGGTGCTCTCGGCAGAGCTGCCTGGCTGGCACTTCCCAGAGCCTGGTGCCAGCAGACGAACCAGCTACAACCAGCTTCCCACCTCTGAGCAGCAGAGTTGCACAAAATGGATTAAGCAGGCCCAGAAATGACACATTTTGAGTCGCAGCAAAACAAAACCACCTTTTTTTGTTGCAAAAAAAGGGAAAAGGAGTTGGTTGGAGAAAGGCACATATCAAGTGAAAAACCCTGATTTTCTTTCTGTAGCAATGCAGGTACCACGTGAATCATCGCTGTCCTCAATATGTAAATAGAGGTTAGCAGGCACCCTCAGCTCAAAACCTAACAATTAAGGGACTAATGCAAATATTCATGTCAAACATTCACCATGCATCTCCCTAAGAGCCTTCCTCAGAATTCCTTCCATGGAGAGGAATGGACCACCTGCATGCACCCAACTGCGCCTTTCTCTATACCTACTGCAAAAGCAAGGACTGGGGAGGAGCACGGGGCAGAGAGAGGGGGAGAGTCAGAGTTCCTCAAAATTTCCACGAAGGAAATGGCTAATATTCATGATCTCATGGCCTCCTGACATTGTAGCCTCTCAGGATAATCTGATCTCGTGCTGGAGCCCTGGGGTCTTTGCAGAAGCAGCTTTCGGGCTCCATTGAGAAGTCAGTAACCCAGTTGTAAGCAGAAGCTCGTACAGTAGTAATGGGGAGAAACGTCAGCGCCAGCCCGGCCCGCCTCCCGCTCCCAGTTAGAAGGCAGCATGTGACAGAGCCAGGGCTGGAGCCTTCCCCGCAGTTTCATCAGAGGTTAAGGCACAAGCACAACACATGCTTACAACTTCAGGCAGTTCTTAAGCAAATGCATGCAAATCATAGCTGGGGGGGGGCTTTTTTCCTTCCTTTTTCCTTTTTCTCTATTCTTTTCATCCCAGCCTTGAGCCCCTCTGCGCACGTGGGGACAGAGAGGAAATGGAATTATCGAAAGCAGGCGCCGGACGGGGAGGGCACACACAGGCTGCACAGTCCCCTCGCTGCTCCTCACTTTCTGCACCCGCAGACTTCAGACCAGCACTACCTGTGCATGTCCCTGCACAGCTCCCTCCAACAGAGTGCATGTAGGGGAGAGGGGAAAAAAACAGGGGACACAGCAAACCGCATTTCAGGAGATGCCATAAACATGGTCTTATTTCAGCATAGGCCATTTCACAGCCCCAAATTTTGCAGGGAATGTTCACAACATGGTGGGTTTGCGCCAGAGAACAATGACAATTCATAGGATTTTTTCCCCCCAGTAGCAGTCTCTTCTGGAATAGGATTCCTAAACTGGCACATCAAATGCTGGCCAAAAAGCAAAAGAAAAAGAGAAGCAAGGCTTCAGACGCGTGCTGCAATCATACGGGCTTTTCACGGAAGCATGCAGAGAACAGGAGGATTATTGCAGGGAAGTGGAGCCAGGAACTTTCACCTGCCCAGGGAGCAGTGGGGCTGGCGGGAGCTGCAGCCTTTCTGCTGTACTTCCGAGGGATGACATCCCTCACAACCAGCCTCCTCCGAGGGACAGCATCCCATGCCACCAGCCTCCTCTCCTATAAGTCGACGGCTCCCTCAGCAATAATAAAACAAATCAAACTAGAAAACACAGACCGCTTACAAAATCTTCTCGGCCCACTTCTCACCCCTCCTGACCCTTCTGCTGTAATCAACCTGTCAGCAGCTCTTCGCTAACAACCCAAGCTGCTGCCTCCCCCCTGATCTGCCCCCAGCGAGCCGCCCGGGTCCCGTGCCAAGCCGGAGCGCTCTGGAGCTGGTGCATTCGAGGAGAGGTGCCGGGACTACATCAATCTGGCTGGTGGCAAGACCTGCCTGGTTCTGTCTGGCACATGCACCGGGGGCAAATCTGATTTACCAAGTCTCGAGACCTTGTTTGTTTTGAACCCAAACGGCAGGATTAGTCCTCGTCCCGTTCCCCACACACACACTGTTTGCAATCCCGGAGCTAAACTGGTGAGAGAGCAAGGGTTGGGATGAATGTGCTCGCTTCACAATCGGAGCTATTTTGTAATCCGTGGTTATGAAAGTGAAGGGTCGGGGGATGACATATAACTACAGAAAACTCTTCCCACTTGCACCAGCTTCATCAATCCGGCTGCAAAATGCGCGGCCGTGCTCCGGATCAGTCACGGCTCCGGCTCCTGCCCGGTTTATTGTATAGCGCCTCTCTTCCAGCCCCCAAAATGGAAAAGCATGCGAGCCCTATAGCCAGCACGGCTCACTCTCGTGATCCCGCCGGCGCTGCCAAGGAGCCTTAATCTGATGTTAATACCCAGCTCCGTCCAAAAGACAACCCATCCACATTATGCAGCGGGTGACTCGCAGCACCGAGACCCTCTCCCTTGTCGCACTACCCCCCCTCCCCAAACCTCCATCCCCCAAGATCCCAGCCCGTATGCGTGGAATTGACGCTTGGAATGACTCATCCCACAGCCCGGCTCTTATCAGCCCCCACCGCGCAGCCCCCTGCGGAGCCCCCCCCCCCAGTCCCCCACCGCCTGCACCGCGCCGCCCCCTCCCCACCTTTGGGGGGGCTGTAACAAACTGGGGGGGGGAGGGCTGTCTGCGCCGAAACCCATGAACCCATCGACTTCTCCCCCCTTCACCCCCAAACTCCCTGCAGATGGCGGGGGTGGCGGGTGGAGGGGGGGCGGGAGTCCACGTGCGAGTGGTGCTGAAAGCGCCGGCGGGGCTGCGGGGAAAGCCGCGGGGAGGGGCGCGCAGGGAACCGCGGGTGGGCGGCAGCGCTCCGCACCCGCGGAGCAAACGGGACCCCCGCAGACCCTCGGGGCACCCGGCGGAGGAGCTATTCCCCGCACCCCCCGCTCCGGCAGAACCGGCTCTTCCCCCAGGTGCTCGGGAAGAGACGGGGGGGTCTGCCGGCTTCACCCCCCCCCACCCACCCAGTTGCAGCGCGCTGGGGCCCCGTCCAGCAGAGCCCCCCCCGCGCGCTCCCTACCTGGCTGTCAGCGAGGTAACTGAAGACGAAGGAGGAAAGATCCTCATCGAGCAGAGAGCTGCAATCCGGCCCCGGCTCCGCCATCTTCCACCACCTCCGGCTGGGGCTGAGGCGGCACCGAGCATGCAGCAGGCGCGGCGGCGGGAGCCGGGCGGCCGGCGGGGCGGGGAGCGCCGGGGCGGAGCGCCCGCAGCCCCCGCCCGCCGGCTGCGGGAGCCGGGCACGGGGAGGGCAGCGCCAGGGAGCGGGGTGCTGAGCGCCCCGTGGGGTTCGCACACACGCGTGGGGCACCAGCACCGTCCCGCGGGGCGCGCACCCGCTCCGAGCACCGCTGTGTGTGTGTGTGTGTGTGTGTCCCGTGGAAGCGCCAGCGTTCAGGAGCGGGGGTGCCCAGCACGGCCGGGCTCCGCTCCACACTCTCCAGGTCACTCCGAGTTGAGATATGTAAACGCTGGGTGCAGCGTGTCAGGCTGGGGGTGCTCACATCCAGGCTTCCCCAGGGACACGCACACACCCAGGGAACCTACTGTGAGCGGTGCCATGCACACCTTAGAGTGCCAGCCCTTAGAAGCGGAGGGACTCAGGGGCTGCCAGCATCACCGGGTACAGCGTCAGACAGGAGGGGTCACACCCAGGCTCTGGGGGAGTTCGCCCACGGTTGCAGAGTGATGAGTGGCGCTTGCAGACACGTGTGGGGCTCAAGCCCCTTCCCCGGGGACAGACACCCGTCCAGGGAACTCACTTTAGGCAATGCAGTACACACCCCTTAGAAGTGCCAGACCTTAAAACTGGGGGTACCCAGGGTTGCCAGTGTCACCGAGTGCCACTCCACGGCCCCAAGGTCACTCCGAGTTGAGATATATGAACACTGGGTGCAGTGTGTCAGACTGGGGTGTCCAGACTCTCTGGGGGTTCACCCAAGGTTGCAGAGTGCCCCATGGTTCTTGCAGACATACATGGGATGCAAGCACCTTCCCTAGGGACACACACCTGCCCAGGGAACCCACCTTAAGCAATGCAGTGCACACCTTGAAAGTGGGGTCACCCAACACCACCAGGCCCTTCTCAGATCACTTCATATTGAGATGTATAAACCCTGAGTTTAATACCCAGCCTGAGTGTTGGGCTGAGGTTCACACCCAGGCTTAGTCAGTTGGGGGGACACACATCTGCAGTTGCAGAGTATCCTGAGGGGCTTGCAGCCATGCATTGGGACACAAGTACCTTCCCCAGGGACACTCATCCAGACAGGGAACCCAATTTAAGCACCCCTGTGCACACCTTTAAGGTACCAGCTCTTAAAAGTGCGGGCAGCCAGCACCACCAGGCACCTCTCAATAGTCCCCAGGTCATCCCATGTTGAGATACATAAACCCTGAGAGCAGCGTCTTGGGCTGAGGGCCACTTCCAGGCTTGGTGAATCTGCGCTGAAGTGGGGTCAGGTGACTGAGAGCAAAGAGTAACAAGGAGTGAAAGATCTCCAGATTTCCCGTGTTTTCATCTCAGCGCTCATCCTGCTGCTGCTGCGAGCATCTTGATGTCACGCACGTCATCTTTCCGTCTGGGGTTTTGAGGCGTATACTAAAAGCCCTTTCAGAAATAATTAATGACGGGACCAAAAATCTCATGAATGTTCTATTTACTTACCCGTAGCAATTACGTGGGAAAGAGCAGGGCTTGGCACTGCAGCCTGAATTAGCTGATACACAACTGAGTGGCAACACCTGCAGCCTAATGGTTCCAGATCCTTGAATCCCCTCAGATGGTCCAGACAGGCCTGCAGGGTCATTGTAAAGAGCTGATAGAGCAAAAAGAAGTGGAGGGATCTGAGTGGGGAGCTCTGCATCAGGCTCTGGAAGGTGAATAGAAGGTGCTTCTTCCTCTGGCAGGAAAGGCCCACTGCCTGTCCACATTCTCACCTTGCTGTTGTTTCAAAAGCAGAGCTGTTTCCAGGCAGTCTTTAATTCCCTCTGGCCTCCCTTTGGTTCATGACATGCTGTGAACACCATGCAATGTAGCAACACTGGGTTTTCCCTGATGATCCCAAGCCTTGCACCAAAGGGAGATGTCCACAAACAGCTTGTGTTATGTCATACTGGTGAGAGCTGGGGCCAGGGCGGTTTGGCTGCCGGGATGGGACAAAGCAACTCTTCCTCATTGCTGTGCACTCTATTACTAATTACTGTTATGAAGTGCCAAAAAGTTACCCAAGGTGCTTTTCCAGCTGCCCTGCCAGCAACGAAACTTCTCTTCCCGTGGGTGAGAGGTCTGGGCCCAGAAATGCACTTCCAGGATTCACAGCTGCAGCTCACAGCAAGCACAGCGCAGAGCACAGCGCTTGCACGGAAGGGCCAGGGAAGGAAATTGCCTTGCTCTGGGGCACACGCAGTTCCATGCAGATTAAGACTCAAATTCCCAGTTGATTCTGCTGACCTGATCAGATGTCCATTCCCCCCATCCCTCCTTTGCAGAATATGCAAGTGATGAAAGTGACAGAGTGATGAAGATGAGCTGAGAACTAGAGGAATGTTTGCCCCGTCAAGGGAAAAAGCAGGACTGGAAGGCCTCACCACTAAAGTAGCCTTTTGGGATGAATTTGTTGCACAAAAGGCGAGGTTCTCACTTGAGTATCTCATGATTTCCTTTAAACCAGCTGTACTCAAATAGGAAGTAACAATTCGTGGGAATTACTTGTGAATGTTCATTGTAAAATCAAGTTATGCATAGCTGTGTGTTTCAGAAATACCTTTTTCTTTCTGGTCTCTGTGTAAGCACAGTTCCTCTACCCTTCCTTTCTAATGCAAGGAGATGAGCCTTTCCCAGTCCCCAGCAGTCACAGCCTGCAGGACACCCACCCTGGCAGCAGCCTCCCACAGAATGCAGCTCACCCAGGCAGCCCCCCGGCACTGAAGAGCGTGAGGAAAGCAAAGCCCAGCCTGTGCTGCTCGTTTGTCCTCTGGATAGAGATGGGTTAGGGCTTCTTCCAGCCCTGTGGGCAAAACTGGATGGGACATTGGGGTCAGGCTGCCATTGTACAGAGAGGGGGACAGGGGACAGAAGAGATGGAGAGAAATGGGGACATCTTGGAGGAGTGGACTTTCCACTGCTTCTGGGTTTCAGTGGGATCCCAGAGGATGAAGTACAGTTGCTCACGTGGCTGCAGGCTTATGTTAACATGCCCAACTTCAGCCCCTGACTGCCCTGGATTTTTGCACAGTCCAGGTGTTTTTCTGTGCCTTTTGGGTTTTTTCACCTGCAGAATGGAGATAACATCACTTCCCTATGCCCTGGAACTTCTGGGAGGGTTGGTTGAATAACACTCCTAAAAAGGGCTTCAAAAGCACCAGGAGAGAGGTGAAGGAGGACAAGATGTTATAACTGGTGTTGTCTCCACCTCCTTAGGAGTCAGTCATGCGGCAGCCTCAGAAACATCCACACTGGGTAGAGATGGTGTCTGATCCACAGCACTTGAGCGCTATGGTGTGGATGGGACATCATATTCCCTGTGCACACATCCTGCTCTGCTCCACAGAGTGACTGGTCGGCTTCACCATGTGCTCACTGCTTTCCTCCTAAAGCAGACCCTGAGCTCTGTCAGCAGGGGAGCTGCCAGAGCTCTGGCTTCTGCTGCTCTCAGTATTTATGTACTCATAGAAGTGTCAGCCACAGTCGAGTTGAAATAAGCCCCTGTGCCCACCCTCGCCTGCCAGCCCTGGCTGAGCTGGAGTGCCCCATGACACTGCGCCGGCGCTGCAGCAACCCGATGCTAAGCCCGGAGGGGCTGGGGATAATATTACCAGGGTAAAATATAACAGGAAAAGCTTGCAAATGTCCTTTCAAAACAACAGCGAGTGAGTAATGTCATTGGGCCAGCGGTCAGGAGGGGACAGGGTTTGAAGGTACCCTTAGCCTGCCAAAGGCCAAGCGTGGGACAGGGGCAGGAGCCAATGAGCGGCGGCTGAGCAGGAGACACCCCGCGCCGGGCAACCTCCCGCCTTCGCTCTCACGTTGCAGCTGCCTCTGTTTGTGGATGGCAAAATGTGGTAAGGACCAGGCAGTGAGAGGCAGCGGCAAATGGGGCTCCTCCGGGTGACAACATCCCCAGCCTCTGGTGGGTCCTCGCCAGCCCCCCGCCATGTGACACTTTCTCCTTGGCACTAAAATTAAATGCAGCCCCAAGGGTGCCGCTCCCACTGGGGACACGGGGGAAAGGCGCTCTGTGCTGGCAGGAGCTCTCTGAGTCAGCAGCTGGGTAAGCTGGGGGCAGCCGAAGGGGAAGGTGTCCCTGAGGCTCTCCCAGAGCCCTCTCCTAAAGCAATCTTCGTTCGTGCAGGCTGCTCACTGGGGCCCCACTCCCCACGGGGCAGCAGTGGTTGGCAGTGCCATGCCCTGGGTTTCACTGAGTTTCTGTGCTTGGCTCCTTTCCACAAGCTCTGCTTTTCCTTCCCCTCAGCCCTGCTCGGCACTCAGCTCAGCCTTATCCTTCACCTGAAGTCACCGAGCACAGGGACATAGTGTCACTTTTCTTCCACACTTTCTATGTCTGGTGGCTCCTGGTGGCTCCTGATCAGCCATGTTCACCTGGAAGGTCCTGCCTCCTCCTCCTCCACCTCCTCCTCCTCCTTCTCCTCTGTTATGCTTACTGGTCGTCCAGGACTGGACCTCTGGAAATGCTCCACTGGGTGACATGGTCCCTTTCTCCCCACAAGCCCAGGTGGAAATTGCCCCTCCACTCTCAGTCTGATGTCCTCTTTGCCACAGGGCTGAGGACACAGCCTCTGGGGCTGGAGTGGACCTGGGAGACAAGAGAGTGACTTCAGAGGATGAGTGGGTGCTGGCTGAGCCCCTGGCTCTGAGATCCAGCTTGTCCAGGGGGCAGGGCTGAGGATGTGCCAATTCAGAGGTTGCTGTTCCTGCTCCACCATCCCTGGGCATCACTGAGGAGCGATATTCCACTGTGCCAGCAAAGCCCCTCATGCAGTCACACATGGAAACCGTGGACACTGTGCTTGTGCTGTGGCAGAGACCCACAGTCCCCTTTCTTGAGTGCTCCTGGCAGAGGCTCCCTCCTCTCCCTGTGCCACCAACCAAGCTTGCTGCAGCTTTCGTCACCTGGAGCAGAGACAGG